GTAAATCCATAGGGCAAATCCTCTGGAAAATCAACATCATGGTATATCATTATATTGTTGTATATCCATTAAATCCTTCTATTGTTCTTGATATATCCCGTTTTTGTAGTTGCTGGTGATATCCCTATAGTAAATCTACTATGTATATATATATATCACCATTATATCATATCATATCATATCATATCATATCATATACATCATATATACACCATATCATATCAATAAATATCACTATTTCAATTTCTGCTCAGCTTTTCTAGGGCCAAATCTCGGGTAAATCACCATACAGGTGTCATATTCCCAGTCACAATATCCTTAGTCATATCTCTATGAATTCGCATGGACAAATCCTTCTATCGTTGTTTGGTATTTTTTTGGGGGGTACAGCCTACTTTCATAACCACCTTTCAGTCAAGTTGCTGTTCATCGAACTGATGGTCAATCCTATATTATATGTTATATGTTATATATACTATATATATATTAAAATATTATAAATATGTAAATATGTGTATATATATTATAACATATATCATATATATATATATATTATAAATATGTCAATATATGATATCCAATGAAGAATATCCGTTTTTGTTGGTAAATCTATAGGGCACCACCAAGGCACTGGACCCTCACTTCCAGCAGCAGCTGTTCATCGAACTTCCTCCGTGGCGTCCACGCGAAGCAAAAGAGGCCACCCGTTGGACTCGGCGCCTCCTCGGTTCGCCGGTCCACGGCTTAAGGGGTTCACGGGCGCCAAAAAATCAACGGGGAAAACGGCAGATCCATGGCTTTTTTGTTTGGAATATCATAAAGATATGTATGGATATCTTGGATAAGGGATATATGATATCTTTCGTAACATTATATACTGGTTCGAAAGATTGGTTTGATATGGTTTTTAGAGCATTGTTGTGAATGATGTTTAATGAGTTCAAAGAGTTTTATCTGGTTTGATATGGCTTTATGGTCCTGTAAGGTTTATCTACCCAAAAATGGTTCGTTTAAGGGAAAACATGGAAACAATTGTGATATTGATACAGGAAAACATGGCAATATCTTTGTTCAGTGTCTAATCTTTAGCAAAACAATGCTTAACACTCCAAAATGGTGGTTCATTACCATGAATCATGGAGGTTTAACCAGTTTTAGGATCTTAGAATGTCTGTGATGATATAAGCACAACAGTCATATGGGGATACCACTATACCATCGGGATTTGAACTAGTGGATAAAACTGCCGAACAAAAAACTGAGCCCTTCTCCCCCAAAGACACAAATACCCTCTGGTTATGTGAAAATAGCTATGGAAAATGGCCTAGTCGAAATAGTTGATTTACCCATTGAAAATGGTGATTCTCCATCGTTTTTTGTAACGTTTACCCGAGGGTACCCCAAACAAAACCGTGCGGATTGTACGGTTCATCGGTTCATTTTGCATCTCATTGCCACTACTTCGGGGTCCAGTGGTAGTCATACCTTTGGCTCCTACAGGGTCGTGTCCCCCGTGAAAAAAGTTGCTTTAACGACCTATCTATAAACCCAACCGTTAAATTGGAGTTATAAATGCACCAACTTAGCTAACTAAAGCATATGAAATCAAAATTAAATCCCATGAAATCACCATGAAAAACGGGCACCACCTTGATATTGCCATTCAATGGGTACCTTTTAATGTCAACCCTGGATTAATAAACCCCTCTTTAATTGGGAGGGTACCATTTAGGTATCAGATAATAAGTATCAGATAATGACTATTGGAGGAGTACCACCATGGTTTATGAATCCGGGGTTGACATTAACTCACCATCTCCAGCTAGTTCATCCAAGGCACCGTCTCCGGTCCCCGCGTCACCGGTGCTGTGGTTGGATTGGTTGGATCCGCCCGAGGCGTCGCCAGCGTCGCCAGGTCTGGGCGGTGACTTCGCCGGTTCGAACGGGGCACCATGAAACATCAACCGTGTAGAGGTTTCCATAGTCATGGGGGTACCCCAAAAACGGGATGGTTTATGGAAAATCCGAAAATCAAATGGATGAGAACTGGGGATACCCCCAAAAATAAGGAAACCTCCATATATCAAAGAGTTGATGAGAGAGTTGATATAACAAACATCAAGGGTTCACATGATATAGGTGATATATGGTGATATAATATGATAAAGGTATTGAATCTAAATTTATAGTTTATACGAGTACATATTAAATGAATGTGGTCTCTATAGATAGTTCAATTAGAAGGCTGTAAATATCAGTGAATTCCACATGAGAAAACCAATGAACTAAATATAGTTAAATGATAACATATATCCTGCGAATTCAAGAGGTAGTGTAAGCAAATTCTCACAATGGGGGATTTAACTGCGGATAAAACTACTAGCATCAACAAATTCAGAGACAACATGTAAAACCTGTTCAACCGAAATGAGTATGGCTCACAATTTGGCTCACAATTTCTATTGTATTTCTATCCCAAACACAATGGTGAAATTGGTGAAATCCTGCCTGAAACCCTGCCATACCCTGGTCGATTCCCAGGTCTACGGAGTCTATGGGTCTGTCGGTGATGGCAATCCAAACCCCCGCTGGCAATGGTTTAGTGGGGGGTAATCATCGTTGATGGAAGATCTAGAGATGAACTACCCTACTTATGGTTCAAAAGACCAAAAAAAAGGCAGGTTTTCAGGTAAAGTCTTTTTTGTGGACCACAGATACTGAGAACCTTTCTTCAGTATCTCAAGCAGTCTTGATTTTGGCCAGGGAATGGTAGATTCAATATGTATTTGTCATGTCTATGTTCCATTGGGGGAATGGTAACCCACATATTCTTAATGAATTCATAATCCGAGATTCGTACAGATGCGTGATTTTTTTCTTTTAAACAGGGCTTCCTAGACCCTCAGTTCATCCATTTGAGAGACACATCATTAAAAAACAAAACAAGCAAACTTGCATATAGAATCATGTAGTTTAGATAATATTAATATATATAAATATAGATATGGAGTTTTCCTGAAATGGGGGCACCCCCAGTTATAATCAATTTTTGTTGGATTGTCCATTATAAACCATCCAGCTACTGTGGTATCCCCATTTCAGGAAGCCCCCATATGGAATCATATAGAGAATCATATAGCTTAATATATAACGTGCATATATATATATATATAACCCCAATTTTGAGGTAATCCCACTAATATAATATTAGTAATATCATTACAAATATCATTACCCAAATATCACTAATATAATTGATCATATCACTAATGGTGTTATAATCTATATATGTTCTATATATATAGATAGATAGATAGATAGATAGATAGATAGATAGATTGATAGATTGATAGATTGATATATATACAGACAGATAATCAGATAGATAGTTAGATAGATAGACTGATAGACATACAAACAGATAATCAGATAGATAGTTAGTTTGATAGATAGATAGATAGATAGAAAACCATTCTTTTCCAACGGAAAGCCATTCTCTCCCTACACCTGCCTGCTGTTAGCTCTGTACTCGCCACCAGCACCTGGCACCATTGAAAATACAGTGATTTAAGGGGTGGTGATTTAACAGGATTCTATGGTGATCTAATGGACTTTAGTGGTGTTTTCATGGAAATGTATGGAAATGTATGGAAATGTATGGAAATGCATGGAAATGTATGGAAATGTATGGAAATGTATGGAAATGTATGGAAATGTATGGAAATGTGTGGAAATGTGATCTGAATGGGATATGAATAAAATATTGGTTAAGTCACTGTTCGGTAATCAAACATGATTCTAGCTGGGAAATCCCCGACTAAATGGAGGTTTCCAATGGAACACATCATCTACAATATGACTTCTCCAGCAAGCCATGTTTCATTGCCAGAGGGTAAGTTTAAACTTCACAAGAATCCATTGTTTTTTTTCTGCAAATAGTGTGCAAGTGGATCCCTAAATCATCCATCCAATCCACGTGTTCTTGTGAAACCCATGAGGAAGTAAAAGTAATCAGAGTCTTTTAATGCGTTGTTAGGATCTCAGGATCTGACAAAGACAACTGCAATTTCAAGCAAACTAATTTGATTGAATCCTAGAATTCCATTTGGCAACCACATAATCCTATATCAATTGAAATCTGAACCATGGACGTTTGCAAAACTGAAAATAGGGCCACACAACCATATTTAGACTCTAATTTAGACCTCAAAGTACCTCCAACAAACGTCTGAACATTGGTAAAGCATGGTCAACGTGACACTAAACAAATGGGATAAACACACTATTGTATCTTTTTTTCAAAAGGGTCTGTGGTACAAGTATATCAGTATATCCCCAAAAATTCCATGTTTATCTCCAATAAATTTGCTATATCACTATATATCATACTATATCCACATCCTTCGAAAAAACCACCTGTGAAACCTCAGGGGGCACGGATGACCCCACCTGTGAGCTGGCTGAGCTGGCGCCAAAGAGGTCAGGACGTTGGAAATAGTCGGATTCCCAGGTGAGTCCAATCTCGGCGGCTGAAACCGTAAAAAACCACAACGGGACCACTGGGATCGACCTATGATTGGTGGCGCCCCCGGGGTCGGAATCGATAGCTCAGTTGGTCAACATAATAACTCCAATTTCACTATATGGTTTTGTTGATGATATATCATGATATATCGAACTAGTATTCATGGGGTTTAACAAACCAATTTATATAACGCACGATGGTTTTTGTGGGCGATATATCGAACTAGTTCATGGGCTTTATCAACCAACAAACATTTCACGTTTGGGGGGCACCACCGAACGTAGGTTTTGTGGGTGTACCGTATAATAGTACAATATGAACGCGGGAATGGTAGAATGGGGTAAAGATGTAAACTAACTTAGAACCTTAGAACTGGTGGACTGGCCCAGTCTGCCCATCTTCATTTCCAATTGTTCCGCATGTTGAATGGTTGTGGGTCGAGCTTGGGAAAAATGATGATAAACTATGGCATTATGGGTGCCATGTTCGTTCCATGTTCAATGTGTTCAATGTTTGGGCATTGTGGGACCATAGTTCGTTGCATAAGCCACTGCTGGCCATTTTCCGCAGCCACTGTTAGCCCACACGGGTATTCTGCTGCCAAGCTCGTACGACACACCATGCGTTCATCTGCACATGACCATACGGTACCTTCCCACACAAGCCACCAGTCAAGTGATGATGCCATCTCACGTTGTGACACTGCAAATTCACTACCTTCATCCATTCAGCATTGGTCAGTATGCCCGTAGCTTTCTGAGTTGGTGCGCCATACGCACACTAATGCAGCAGAACCAGCTCGAAAAACCAGCAAGCTTCAACAACTTCTGCATGGAATGGCTGCTATGTTCCGTGGCCTGTCCTAGGGTCCTAGGGTCATTGTCATGCTGTTTCATGCTGTTTCATGCTGTTTCATGCTGTTTCATGCTGTTCATATACCATATGGATCAGCATTTTTGAGACCCAGGGACTCAGTTTTCCCAAGCAAAATGAGCTGTTTTTGTGGGAGAAAATCTGGACTTTTCCACTGCGACCTGACCTCAGCGAATGCGAAATATCATTTGGGATTTTTTGGGTGGTCAGGATACCGGGGAATGAATCAACCCCTAAAACTGATGACCGGTAGTCAAAGCCCACTTGAGTAGTGCCAGAAGCCGGAAAATCTTCATCGGAATTACACCCCCCATAGCTAGTCGGCAACCATGATAGTATATTCTGTCATCATATTCTTGTTGGTGGTATACCTACCCCTCTGAAAAATATGAGTTCGTCAGTTGGGATGATGACATTCCCAATATGATGGAAAGTCGTAAAATTCCATGGTTCCGAACCACCAACCAGTGATTATTAACCATCATTAACCATTATTAAGCATCATTACCCCATACTAAATTTTCCAAACCACCAACCAGTAATTCACTCTGAAAGTCAGCGTCTTCGGTGTATCTCCATCTCATGTTCCAAAGCTTAGAGCGCCGACCAAGAGACCAAGGGAAAACATCGCAGAAAACACGACCAGTGCCCAGTCTGCGGAGATTTTTGGACTAAGCCACTTAGATTAAGTGATGCCCACCAGTGATGTTTCTTGTTTTTTTCAACCCCATTAACTATATTAATCGTTATATCGCCCTTTTGAAGCACAAGATGTGCGTCAACTTAGCTATCTACACCAAAAGTGGGGCCCACTGGTTACCCTCTGGTAAACAAACAGTTTGCGACATAGAACATGGCCCAGTCGAAATAGTTGATTTACCAATTAAAAATATTTAAACATGGTGATTATCCATCGTTTTTTGTAGCTTACCAGAGGGTATATCCCATTAATATCCCATTAATATCCCATTGAATCACTATATTTTTCCATTAAATCATTAAAAATCCCATGCTATTCCATTGTTTTTTTGTAGGTTTACCAGGCCTTTTGTATGTGGCTGTTGGTTTTTTTCACCTCATCCAACTAGTTGGATCTTAGCAAATATTAGCAGCGCAGCCGTGGTGGATAAATTATTGGCTTCATGATGGTTAATGGTTACATTGATATTTTTTCATGTTATTGTATGATGAATATATGATTAATATGAATATAATATGATTAACATATATTATAATTACAATGGTTATATGATGTTATATATATGTTAGATGATTAATGGTTGTTCATAAGGTTACATACAATGTTACAATAAGGTTAGGTAACAATAGTGATTGAGGGGGCCTCACCAAACGTAGGCCTTCCCTCGCCCCAAAAGCGTTCGCCCGGGTTCTCCGCACCAGAACTGCCACCAGCAGCAACGCCACAAAGGCCACTCCACGGCGACAGAAGCGGCGCATGTCGCGGCGCCATGGCGTGTGCCATGGTAAGTTGAAGAAATGGTGATGGATATCGTTGGTTTATACATGTTTATAATGAATCTATAGGAATCTTATAAGTTGTTGAAGTTTATACTCCTTTTCTTTTGAAGCAACGATATATGGGATTCAAGCAACATGTAAGTTGACCAACTAGTATGTGGTTAGGAAACTCTTGGTAGCTCCAAATCGCTCCCTATTTAATAGGGAATATGAATATACCCATAGCTCCAAATCGCTCCCTCCTAACCAGTGGATAGCACCCGTGAAAACCAGGAAATCAACTGCACTAAATCATCAGGGGCCAATCAGAAAAGAGACGTTGGGTGAATATATGGTGAATTTCCATTAGCTTGGGGAAAATGGTGATTTAATGGTGATTTAATATATTTAATGGGGATTTAATGTGGATTTAATGGGAAACATGATGATTTCATGGGGGTTTAATGGTGATATGGTATGGTTGAATTTCTTATAGAAAGAGTGGTTGAGAATTGAGGTTTACCCGGCCTGGTAAACGGGCTAACATAACGAACTGGAACATCACCATGTTCAATGGGAAACATCCACTATTTCTATGGTAGTGTTCAATAGCAAACTGTTTGTTTACCAGAGGTTTATTGATGTTTATTGGTTATTTGTCACATAGCAAGGATGTACAGTAACCCACTTGGTGAACTCTTGAAACTTCCATCATTGTTGCGTCGAATTGGTTGCGCTAAAACTTCCGTGTTCCCCAGCTATCTATCTATTGATGTACAGCTTATCCACTGCCAGGACAAGCCATTCACCCTGGGTGTGTCGGCTAAAGCTGCGGCTTTCACGCAGCAGGATTCGCTGGCCATTTTCCCATTACCACATGGCCATTTTCCCCAGGAATTGCGGGCAAACGTTGCTTGGAAGTCCACGAACATGTTATGGAGGATCAGGTGGCAAAATCGTCATCAAACTCGCCACTTCGAGGATGTTGGATTGCCATCTTTGATTACCAGTTTTGGTACTAACAAGTATAATTTTAAACAAACAAAATACCCGTAAATACTGAGAAAACACAAAACGATTCATGCTATCGTATTGTGTTTACATACCATAATTACATAATACCTTCGATGGCTTAAGACTTAAGACTGATCAATTTCCTGGATTACACATTGACGGAACTGACATGCCAATGTTCCACGATCTCCAAAGTTGAGCATTATTCAACAGATGGGGCGGGAGGAATACATCTTCCCATGACCAATTCAGCCTGCCATGCGAGTTAGTTCCCCAGCCGACACAGCTCTTGCGAATCCTCTTGGACTTGAAAATATAGTTTTACTATGAGGGATGCCTTAAGGGGATACCCCCGTCAACATACCTCAGAATAATTATAATATTATTCCGGCACCCGTTGAGTTCAAAAAAATAAATTATTCTAAGAACTCATGAGTTCATATGGAAAAATGGAATAATTTCCATCAAAATGATACCGGTATAGTCTATTTCTAGCCAAACGCAAGTGATCGTAAGCAGCTGCGCGCAAACGGCCGAAAACGGTTTCCCTTCTTGCAGAGCTGGGGCACAAAGACAACAATTTTCAACATACTCAGATAGGATCAAGAAGAGTCAGAATAGTATCTTTAAACAAATTTCCTCTCAGCAACCCACTGGCTGAACATGGTTTTAGTTGGTTTTGGGTGTTTTCCAGTTTCTGGGCTAGTTTGGTGGTTCCGGCCTTAGTGGGAATGAGTGGGAAAAGCAAAATATTTGGTTGTCACTGGTTATTTTTTTTGCCAATTTCTGGATTTGTTTTGTGATTGTAGCAGCTGCCCCCTTTTGTTTTTCAGGGGTGCCAGGCATCTCCAATACCTCCAAAATAATTTCTCCCCTGGGGAAAGCCCGGAGAAAAAAAAACAACTTGGCTCTCTTCTAGAGGTTTTCCCAACTTTGCGTCCGCGCCCCTATTTCTTCCATATTCCCTTCATTTCCTGCCAAAAAACTCCCGTTGGCCATAGTGGGAATGGGTGGGAAATGTGTGGGGTTTCATTTGTTTTTTTGGCAATTCTTGCCAATTTCTGGGCTAATTTGGTGATTAGCTGTCCGCTTTCGTTTTTGAGGGGTACCAGGCATCTCCAATACCCCTAGAATAATTTCCCCCCTGGGGAAAGCCCACACAATGGCACTCAACCTGGCCTTTTCCTAGGTATTTTCCTAACATTCCCCATTCATTGCCACCCAAAGAGCTCTCGAGAGAAAGTACCGTGAGAGAAAGGTGGTCCGGTCGACACTAGTTGTGCGTGCAAGTATGCTGCAAAAAAAGGTTGGCAGCAATTGCCCAAACTGCATGATGCCTTAAATAACTGCAATTGGCATTTCCAGCAAAAAGTTTTCAGGCAAACACCGCCAAGCTAGGAATGGCTTTTGGAAAGGCCAGGCCAAATGTAGGAAGTATAGGCTGCTTCAAGATGTTTTAAGTTACCAAAAATTATTCCAAAACCTAATTATTCCGGGGTATCTTGACGGGCTGGATCATGACTTTCAAATTCCAACATGCATAATCGTATACCTACCCCCCTCAAAAATTATTCCTTGAAAATTATTCCAAAAGAAATTATTCCATAACCTAGTTGATACCCTGGAATAATTTCTTAAGGCATGGGTCATGTTTTACTGACTACTGCACCTTAGTCCTATCTGCAAAAAAAAGAGGATCTGAAGCATGGTGACGCATGGCGAAACTCAATTTTCTCTATGTTGCAACCAAGAAAACTACGGACTGGACTTAGACGGGTGACTGGTGGTGCTTTTCAGAGACCAACCCCTGCCCACATCGCAGCCATTCGCATCATCGCGAGTCGCACTTTTGCTCCATCCGCACGACATGAGACGAACGTAAAGCGCAAAGTATTGCCAGCAAACTGCTGTTGATCAAGTCTTCTGAACTCCGAGTTTTGATCAATTTGGCATGGATCATTGGATCATCGAAATTTGGTAAATAATGAAAATCATGATGATATTTGGTGCATATTTCGCATCATTGATGCAGGCAACTAAGCATCAACGGTTTCCAGAAAAAGGTAGGTCGGCGCCACCGCGATCACAACAGCGGAACGCGCCGCGAAGGGTGCGAACGGTTCATGTGGAGCGAGCAAGGGAGGGATGTCCACATCGAGGTATTCAAAGTGGTGCCTCGATCAAAGCAATAAAAACACATTGACATCTTACATAGGCCTAAAAAAAATGGTAGGTACCTCCAATTTAGGTTCCTAAAATGGCCATTGATCTTTACTGTTGGAGGATTTGCCACTAATTATTCTGTTTCAGAGATGTTTTCCAGTGTTTAACCCACACTTAAGTCGGTTCCGAAAAAACAGCTCTGACCGAGGTCATCGTTCCCGTCACCCGCACGACGTCGTTTTAAGCGGCGCGCCACTTCAAGTGGGTCACTGATAAATCGTGTCATCCGGTGCTGTCGGAGATGGAGCTCCTGGCTTCGAGGTTTCCCAAGGTGGGGGTACCCAGCTCAGCTCGCTGGATGGTCAAAATGTCATGGAAAATCCATGGATTTTTCAAGATGAGAACTGGGGAACTGGCCCTATAAATTGGAAACCGCCATACGGTTTGTCAAAACCCATAGGATCCATATATGCTATATATGGTAACCTTTACCATCAATATACCCCCAATGTTAGCATATATATACCATACATGGATCCTATGGAAAATGTCTTCTCCTGGTTGATAAATCGTAATTCCAAAAAGTGCCGCTTCTTGTTTGGTCTTTAAAACTATGACTTATCTAAATAGTCTGAAAACCCTGCATTTTATCTTTCATGTTTGAAGCCGTAGCTGAAATAACCTATCCTATCTGTTTATCCTTCGTAGGATCAATTTATGTATTGATATATATTATCGAAGGAAGTTTAGAAGTCAAACTTCCAACAATATGGACAGATGAAAAGCAGAGCAGGGAAGGGTCAGAGAGAAGAGAAAGATTAGAAGAGAGAAGAGTAGAAGAGAAAGAGTCAGAAGAAAGAAGATGCAGATGCGCGAAAAGGTAGGAAAGTCGCGAAACACTGTGTTTTTCCAATGATTTGTGGCTCCGGAGGGTCGAAAAGTAGGCTCGCTAAAGCGGCGGGTGCGGAGCCAGCTGGCCAGATGAGAGATGAAAAATTGCACGCCGTTGTGGCGCGAAGCATATTTCCAAGTCAAAATGTACAAAACACACATTTCTCGGACCACTTTTGGCAGTTGAGATGTCGAAAAAGTGCACGCCGTTGTGGCGCGAAGCACATTTCCAAGTCAAAATGTACAAAACACATCTTTCTCGGACCACTTTTGGAAGTTGAGATGTCGAAAAAGTGCACGCCGTTGTGGCGCGAAGCACATTTCGAAGTGAAAATACAAAGCACACCATTCTCGGACCACTTTTGGAAGTTGAGATGTCGGAAAAGTGCACGCCGTTGAGGCGCGAAGCACATTTATTTCGAAGTCAAAATGTTAAGAACACCAGGGTCCGGACCACTTTTGGAGGTTCAGATGTCGAAAAAGTGCACGCCGTTGTGGCGCGAAGCACATTTCGAAGTCAAAGTGTTAAAAGCACCAGGGGTTCGGACCACTTTTGGAGGTTCAGATGTCGCTTGGCGTGGCAGGCGCAAGGGATTGTGCACCTTGTCAAAAGTGAGCAAAACGTGAGTAGCATTTTCAACTACAACCACCACTACACCACACTACACTCCAATACACTACACTACATTACACTACACGACACTACCTTCCACTACACTTCACTACACTACACTCCACAACACTACAGCTACAACTACACAACTACACTCCACTACACTAAATTACACTACACTAAATTACACTACACTATACTACATTACACTACACTACATTACACTACACTACACTACATTACACTACATTACACTGAATGACACTGCACCACAGAGAGACAGGTAGACAGATAGGCAGATAGATAGATAGATAGATAGATAGAGAGGGAGA